GCTGACAATGATGATGATGATGATGATGATGATGATGATGATGATGATGATGATGATGATGATGATGATGATATAGGCTAATATTTTGTCCCCATTCAGTTCATTAGACGTTGATCATATTCATAATCTTCACAGACAGTTATGACGTTGATGCCTCGCTGCCGTGCAACCTTGAATTTTACCTGACTGCATCCGTAGCTTTAGAATGAAGGGCAGAGGAAAGAGGGGGTAAGGAAGGGGACTTGGTGCTAGCCTATCACGCATTTTGGGGTGCCTACAACTCCAAGTGCTCAGTCAGGCAATCTGAAAAGAAAGTGATAAGACGAACGCCACCAATATCGATCTGTCGCCATTTCTTGCAATGTCTCTAGCCACACATTGACGAGGTTACGGGGACCCCATCATGGAAGACGCACAACGTCAAAAACACCCAAACTATTTGTAATCTCATTCACGCCCTTCTGTCAACCATCCGGTGTCCACTTTGCCGTTTTTGCCATTTCGAAGGAAGCACGGTCAGCAATATTCTTCTCAGTAGACAGTGTTTCGGCGTGTGTAGCACATGGTGCTGGATGTTCTCCGTGATTGAATTACCTGCAGCATAACCAAAGACCCGTTTTCTAATCACATCGTTACTCACACGCTGACGCCATCCAAAACCAGCCGCACTTCTGAGGCATCGATAGTCAAAAACCGGACAACGCCTCACACCATCTTTTAGTAGAGGCGACGTTTCGCACCCATACGAAATTACAGCCCTTACTGCAACCTGGTACACGCGATCCTTAAAACCAGGTGATGCCTAACTGCCATGCCATTCGAAGGAAGCACAAGGGCTGGGATACTGCCAAACGTAGACAGGGAAAGTCGAGAGGCAGAGGTCGGGGCCGAACCACGGACCTTCCGGTCAGTAGATTCGCGTTCTAACCACTTGAGCCATCTCAGCTCTTTCCGTACTGGAAACTGAGTCTCACTAGCTTTATGGAGATAATCACATTATGGGTGATCGAGTCGCCAGCGTTGTACGCAAAGCGGTGCATATATCTGCTCAGATGGACTTTTCCAGAATAGTACCCTAGCCCCAATGTGTCCATGATTTCAAGATTACGGACCACAGTTATACCGTAAATAGCTAGGCATTTCTGTAGGTTACTTTTATGGTAAGATGGGCACGATCATGTATCTCGGTATGCCCTTTCCCCTTTATGTCTATAACGGCAGGGTTAGGAGGATGCCCTTGCGCGTGTTCTGGGGATTATTTAACTTGTTCAGCATTCACCGGGTTCCTTCGCCAACAGCTGTGCTCGGTTTTCGGGGCGACGCGACTGATCCCTTGGTTCAGCTGACGAATTTCAGTAAACGTACACGGTGTATTCTGTACTCGAGAGGGGTGAGTTGGACCAAGTGTTTAGAGCGCGAATTTGCTGACCGGAAGGTCTGTGGTTCGAACCCGACCTCTGCCTCTCGACTTCGCCTGTCTAGGCCTGGTGACCTGGCAGTATCCCAGCCCTCGTGCCTCCTTCGTGTGGCACGGTAGCTGAACGATTGATTGATTGTACTCGAGATTACCTGTGTGTCGGAATCCGACCAGCAGAAGCACACATGTTACACTTACATTTATCTTATATATAGTTTGACTTACAGGACATTCTCTTCTCTTGTTTGTAACCAACGGTCAAGTTTCACCGGATAAGGGAGTTTGCACAGAATTCCCATACGATTGCTCGTCAGCAGAGAGAAGGAGATGATGACAGCAGATGTAGTATGTTTAAGCAAGCTAACTTTCATAATAGCAAATGTTGCAACTGTTCAAAATTAGTGACAACTCGTTTTCTAATATCATCGATCAAGGAAGCCGAAACTAGAGAATGGAAGACAGGCTACTCCAGGATTCACATACTCGAAACACCAATAAGTTATTTTCCTGATCTAGTAGAGTGAACTCAGAAACTGCTTTGTGCGCTCGTGAGCGAATTTCCAGCTATCTTCAGATAATGTGTCGTAGTTGAATACTGCAAGAAGCTGAGAATTTCGGTTGTGCTGTATCAGAATGTGGTGAACAAGAATACGTGCGGAAAATGCACCGGGATTCTTCAGTCAGTATGCCGTTTGGACGTTGGATACCCTTTGCCAGCTTGGTTCGTCTTTAGGACAGGTCGAACCTGGATGGCATAGTCAATATCTTTCTGAGAATTATGGCTGCTTTCGGGGGAAACAGTTACCCTCCGAACTTTCACATCTTCGGCGGATGGTATAGCGTTTGAGTTGTAGGCATCGACCTTGATTGCCGCGTATCCACAGCTGTTGTATAACTACCCGTATTGCACTTCACACTCAACTAACCGCTAGATCCCATTGTAGACCAAAACACGTGAAGGTACCGGACTGTAACCAGCAACTCTACAAGTCATCATGCTACAAAATGAGCGGCCACACGCGCACGCCACCCACCCCGGATACGCTCCTGCGAACATAGCCTCAACGGATTACCCTTCCCATACGGGCCGTGGCAATGAGTTCACATTTCACCGACATATTATGACGGATGTTTTGTTGGATCCAGTTTGCAAACTGGATGCGATATTCCGAGAACTGATCAATTACAAGGTGAGTTACAGTGCACCCCCCTTGTGGGATTAGCAAAAACTCGTGTCTGAAGTAATGGCTGGTCGAATCTTTAAATTCTTATTCTACACTTGAAGCGCGATGCCATATCGTCCGCGAATGCTGCTCCCAAAATTGCACAATCCATTTCCGACAATAAGAATGGTACGACGGATCAGCTGAAAACAGTGAAGTACGCTCATATGTTGGCTCGTAACCAAGCGGCACGCTTGGGTCTGGTTACAAGTACGAAGGTAAATGGTAACGCCGGTGTTTTTCTGTACTAATTTCACGTGTCGTTTTAATATGTCTCACCAAAGTGCCCGAATTGGACAGATCTACATATTTTCTATCCCGGCAGTGTTCGTACTTTCGGGATAAATGGGTATTATTCTTATAACACCACTTGTTCTAATGGATCCTTGAAAGTCTCTTGTTTTCTTCTTGTGGAAAGGCTTTCTTCTATGATGCAGAGCCCTTTCACAGTGTAATAGCAATGTTCTATGGCCCAAAAAATCCCCTGATATCCGTACTGAGGGTCCTCTAAGGGCCGGTTGTTGTTTCAAAGTCTGTTATGCTCGCTCCAGTAACGTTTGAAGCGTCTGTCCTCCGTCTTTCGTCCGCCAATCCCTAGTGACCTTTAACAATACTTCTGGGTGGAGCGTTCATCTGAAGGTGTTGGATTCCTTTTCAAAAAATACACTCATTTGCAAATCAATTTAGTTTTCACGAGAGACTCAACTGAATCTCTCGTTTATGACATTCTACAACTGAATGTGTTGCACACAGGCCGCCTCATGGTTCAGTTGGCACGCTATTCGAGATATCGCATTCTATTTTCATAAAGGAAACTAATCACAAGGTTACTGAAAACTTTTCGACAGCCCACGACCGGTTACGCCCTTCTTGGGGCTCGTCGGGTAGGTGCAGTCCCCGGGATTCCGTCAACCTTAAGTTCCACTTGAACCCAAATTGGACTGTTTTCGAGCCGCAAGAAGGGCGAAACCGGTCGTAGGCTGTCGAAGTGTCTTCAGCAACCTTGTGAGTAGTTTCCTTCATGAGAATGCTGGATTCCTTTCTATCAGTCGATTTGCACCTTGTGTGTGTATTGGTGGCTAAGTGAACGACAATATTCCTCCCGAAGTGAAACCACTACGTATATTAGTATTTGACGCTCCTTTCTAACTTGCCTCTCTTCGTACAAATTGCACAATGAATCGTAGCTGACGAAAAACCCTGTGAAGAGGTTTCTGTTCGAAACAGTATCCTTTGGGAAATAAGTCTACCTTTAAAGACAACCAACAGTACGTCAGTAGTACCAGATATCCAATCTAACTCAAGCCCTGTTATGAGAAGATAGTGAGGGGAGACCCCTAACCAAAAGTTACCTATTTAAAGGGTCGTTTATTTGCCAACCCATTTGAGACGTAGAATAGGAGACTGTAGACACATATTCCGTTCCAGTTTGCCACACACAAAGCATGAACTTTTCATCTGTATTTCAAAACCACCGCCGGACATAATTTGAATGCAAGCTTTGTGAGATCTGGCAATTGTTTGTCGACAAGCACGAGATCTGTTTCCTAATCCTCTTTGAGTTTTCATCGACTAGAATCGACGTTTTCACACTGACAGACGTGGATATCCTTTCAAGGATACGAAGACCATGTAGACATGAAACGTCGTTAACATCTAGAACAATTTTTGCCATATAATAATAATAATAATAATAATCGTTCGTATCACCCTTTCGGTGCCCATCTGTCATCGTACCCGAAAGAAGCTCGAAGCCTGAGCTACCACCAGGTTGCCCAAGCGTAGACAAGAGCTTTCGAGATGCCAGGGTTGGATTCGAACGACAGATCTTCCACTAAGTAAGTTCGTCCGTCAACCACTGAGCTACCTAAAGTTCAAGTGTACTATATTTCGGGCCACCAAATGTTATTTCTAAGAGACGTGCGAATCTCATACAATGCTTTCGCGCTACCATTTTCGGGGCTAGAGAAGTCAGTTGTTAGAGCGCGAATTTACTGACCGGAAGGTCCGTGGTTCGAACCTGACCTCTGCCTCTCGACTTCCCCTGTCTAGGCTTCGGTAACCTGGCAGTATCCCATGCTTCCTTCGAGTGGCATGGCAGCTAGGCACCGAAAGGATGTTATAGACGAACTTCTGTCTTTTTGTATTTACTATTTTCAGTCCTACTGTTTCTGATCTCCAGAGGCCGCCACTTCAGCACCGTAGTCTCGGTGGGGGTTTAGTGAATTTTACTTTGCCTTCCACCACCGGCTCACAGTACACGCAGGGACCTTGGATACTTCGGCGCCTTGTCTAATTAAGACAGATACAGAACATGGAACACTGTCTAGGACACTAGCAGATGGGCTGATGGCATTGTATCATTCGACGGGGATGAGGGAGCGGGTCTGGGGAAGGGCCGGTGATCGATGAGCTGCAAGAGCGAATGATACTTCCCAGTTGTCCAAGCTGAAGAATGACATTCGGTTGAGGGATCCTACCTTAAGCCTTTGACTCGAAAACCCGCCTTACAAAACAGTGGAAGGATGTAGGGTCTTGTTCGGAGACCCTGTTCCTAGCCTTTGACCCAAAGTTTGAACCGCGAGACACAGGTTTTCAGGGTTTTGTTGGAGCTAGTGACTGCAGATGACGGTCTGGCCCGAAGACACAGGGACTAAGACATTACTGTTTCACTTCGTATATGGATTCGTACAACATGTGGCTTTTGAACAGCACCGGACTCTTTGGTTTTAGGAGTATTTTGATCGTATTAAATAATGCGCTGGCGATCAGGGTGTGAGGTTTTTAGAGTCAACCTCTTCTAACCCGTCCTCCCTCTGAGGAAAGCTGTGTCGCTGTTTCCCTAAATATGGAGATGCTAGTCGCCTGAAGAAAACTTCTTACTTGTAATGTACTACTCATAAGGTTGCTGCCTTCATACATCACAGCGTTACCTCCAGACCACCTCGTAATACGATTATTTGCAGTACGGAGACTCGCTGTTCTTCGTTGGACTGCTCTGCATGGTTGAACCCTGAAGAACTAAGTTCCAGCCAGTCTAACGCCCAGGATCATTGCAGCAATGAAGCCCGAATGCCACGATAAGGTGACAGCTTTAGGTCGGGCAAATGAAGCCTACGAGGCTAGATGGCCCAAGTGGTTAAGAGCGCGAACTTACTGACTGAAGGGTCCGTGTTTCGAACCCAACCTCAGCCTCTCGACTTCCTCTGCCTAGGCTTGGGCAACCTGGCAGCCCTCGTGCTCCCTTCGGATGGCATGGCAGTTAGGCACCGGAGGGGTGTTGCAGCTGAACGATTTTTTTACGAACCGACCTTTCAAAGAATCAAATTCGTAGGTTCGCCTTAACTTGCTGATTAACCTCAAGACTCACTCGACGAAGGGTGACTGAAGTCTCTTTACATTAGAAATATCCTAGACAATAGCGATAATGTACAAACTGGGATATCCAGCTTGTTATTGGAAGTTGAACTGTCTGTGTAGTGGGCGTATCCGCTCTAGAATACTTAAGTGAAGTTAGTGATCTATGCCTTGTAAAGCCTGAATCGTTCACAAAAGTACTTTTGTTCAGCGCACTTTCAATTGTTAGCTTGCAACAGTATACCTATGAAACTGCCAAGATCAATCTCGACTACTCACAGATGGCGGTCGAAAATTGTATTCTTTTATCAATAGCTAGACTTCTGTCGGTTCGTTCGAACTGTTTTGAGTTCAACATGCAATGTCTCAGAGAGTCTGAAAAAGTCAGTCATCATTTTTCGTTCAATATGTGTGGGTATCCCGGGAGGTTGGTTGAAAATAATAGTGTTGAAGGTATGTGGAATGGCATTCCGTATTCGCACAGTGGAATTCAATTTTCTTGATGGACTAAAGCAATCGGGCAATGGAGCCCAGAGTACCAGCCCAAATTTGTGAGCCCCATTTAGGCATCCCAGGGTCTCAGCGATGCTGGCAAATTACTCCATCAGACTTTTCCGCCAGAGGTATGATTGCTTCAGTGGACAATGAAATTTGGTGAGCTGCAAAAATATGAACGTAGATTATGATGGTTTTTGGTTTGAGCACCTACGCAACAAAATGCAACATTTTGATGCAAAAAGTTTTACTCCACTCTCGAAGGTTTTGGTAGCTAAGAGCATTGTGCGGCTAATGGACTCCATGTGAAACCAAACACAATGATGAGAGTTCTGTTTCAGTCGGCGTGTAGTTCCGCTCAGCCCAACTTACCGGAGGCCGCCGTTTTGATGCATTTGAGGCAACGCAAAAACCGCATCACAAAACGAGATATCGCTCGGAACGATAACCGGTCTGCTTGCGTCAGAATGTGTTGAAGGTTATACACTAATGTGTACTTTTGTGGTGAATAGCTAAACATTGCCAGAAAATGGATTTATACTGGTCACGTCATCTGTATGAAGGCGAGGACGGTTAAGTCAAACTTTTTTGATGTGAACTCGTTACACAAATGTGTCAACTGCAGCATTTGGCTACAGTTAAGGACAGCCTATTCGGGTTCGAGTAGAACGTAAGGTAGAACTGCGCCTACCTGACTAACCCCAAGAAGGGCGAAACCGGTCGTGGGCTGTCGAAGGGTTTTCAATAACTGTGAGTTATTTCCCTTATGAAGAAACGGGGGGCGTTTGGAGCCTTGGTAGATTTTTTTTTAGGAGAATGGTCCGAGAAAAAACATTATTTGAGTCAAGTGGAAGCATGGAAGACATTTATTGGACTTCTTTGGGGACCTCATTAAATGACAGTTATTCTTCAGGAGAAATGATTGAGAAATCGCTGGACCTGCTTCGCATGCCTGCTAACGGGATTCAGACAAAAGAACTCCGTCGAACAGCCAAAATGGTTAACCCTGCATTGATCCTGCTGGGTATTGCAAGACCAGTTGAAGCTCGATAGTTCACAGTGGTGGGGTCTAACACACCTGGGCAAATTAGGAGTGAAGACAACCGAACATCCGTGCGTACCACTTGTGTGTGACTAGTATGGATTGGGCCTTGTTTAGTACTATACCTTATCAGCATTCAAAATGCTCTGTCGATATTCCTGAACACCGCCGGTTTTCAAATAATCATCGCCCTTGGCACTTGCATCCAGCGCCGAGACTGCATGGAGAACTGGAAGTGCTGGTGGTGGTGAGGGTAGATCTGGCCTCTCCGATGGATGACGGCATTCGTAGGTCCGGTGTGCCACCGTTTCTGTGTGTATAGTAAAGCCCAGTAGGCAAATGTTTGACCTCAAATTTCAGTAGTACGGTTGCGTAGGCTATCATGTCTTTACTTGTGAAGCCGGTTGCGGATTCAGCCTGCACTGTCGATTGTTTTTCCCCTCAGTGAACGCAAACCTTTTCTCCTCATTCTCTTCCAGCTCATCCGTCAGTTGGTGGTTCTTCTACAGTCCACAAATTCACCAGATCTGTTGAACGAGACAGCTTTGACATTACAGTTGCTGGCCGAGACCAAGGTCGGATCGCGACTGCTGTGGACAGAGTTTGGAATCCCCATCTTGGTTAAAATGCTCAGGTTTGTCGCTGGGACCGATGTTTGCTCAGGTGATATCGTTTTTTTTAACCGCGGGGGGGGGGTTGCCTAAAGGATATTGCTTACTGACACCTTTGTAAACCATGGAATGCGTCATTCTTTGATGCGTCTTGTGAACAATAGTGTGATAGCACCATTCTAGTAAATAAATTTGTATGGGCTCGCTCCATGCCACATGCTTAATGGTATTATTAGGGGGGCTTAGAGGCTAACCAGACGTGAGTCAGTCATGTATGATGCTAAGTGGTGTCTTTACAATACATCTGGAAGCTGTTTGGTCAAAAACGATTTTTAGTTTAGCTGCGGCCTTCACATCGGTAGCACCATCAATTCTGCGGTTCTAAGAATGCACGCAATTATTGTTTGCTTTATTTTAAGTTATTTTGCTTTTTCAACTACCTGCACAGCCTCTCGACACACACACACGCAGGGTAAACTCTGCCCTTGACAGACAAACTGGCGTCAAATCGGTGCTGTCGGTAGCCGAGTTTGACAAAAGCTATCCTAACCTCCACGGTTTGAGACTTACTTTCGTTTCCAGCCAGTTCGCTAGAGCTGTCCAAATGAACAAATTTGTCTCCCACGTCGACTGGCTCATCTGCAAACATGAAGTTTGGGTTTGATCCCATACAGTCTTGCAGCAGCTGTTAAGCTGTAACACCCTTTCGGTGCCTATATACCGTGCCACCCGAAGGAAGCACAAAGGCTGGGATACTGCCAGGTCGCCCAAGCCCAGACAGGGGAAGTCGAGAGGCAGAGGTCGGTTTCGAACCACGGACCTTTCGGTCAGTAAATTCGTGCTCTAACCACTTGGGCCATCTCGCCCCGAAGGGTGTTACAGCTGAATGATCTTTCAGACCCTACAAACTCAGACGAAAGTTTTTTGTTTACTCGTACCCGTTCACAGGGATATAAATTTAGAATGGAGACCTTCGATTGTCAGAGTCGAAATCAGCTTTCAGGTTCGGGAAAACGACTAACGTGAGACGTTTGAAAGAGTGGAACTGTTCAACAACTAGTCTGAAGGTTAAAACGGTCTATGCATCCTCGGTCAGAGCGGTACCCAACTTGATTCCCACGAGCGTGTTACTCCTGATAATCGATCTACCTGCACAAAATAGCGCGAGAGCACCCTGGATGCGATGAATGCCAGGCTGATGCCACGGTAGTTTTTCTCATTAGGGTGGTATAGCTCAGTGGTTGGGAGCGCGAATTTGCCAACCGGTAGGTCTATACTTCGAATCCGATCTCTGCCTCTCGACTTCCCTTGTCTAGGTTTGGGCAACCCGGCAGTATCCCAGCCCTCGTGTTTTCTTCCGATAGCGCATGGTAGCTAGGTACCGGAAGGATATTACAGCTGAACGATCTTTTATTTTCATTTATTCGAATATGTTTGCATCTCCAAAAGAGCTTTTGTTCTTGCAGTATGATATGGTAGAGCAAGTGCGATTACTGTACCTAATAAATAAAATAATCGTTCAGCTGTAGAACCCTTTCGGTGCCTAGCTGCCACGCCACACAAAGGAAGCACGAGGGCTGCGATACTGCCAGGTTGCCCAAGCCTAGACAGGGGAAGTCGAGAGGCAGAGGTCGGAATCGAACCACGGACCTTCCGGACAGTAAATTCGCGCTCTAACCACTTGATCCATCTCGCCCCCGATTACTGTACCTCAGACTGAACAAATGTTTCCATCTCTTCAAAGTCACTGCATGTGTTTGTCGTTTGTCAGATTCTCTCAACTCAATATAATCAACAGCAGTATCTGTGTTAATAAGCTATCTGGTCCATCTAACCCAACCCGGTTACTCAATTCCACCTTTTGTCCGTGGTAATTGGGGCGTCGCTTGCGTCGAATACCCTTGAGAGGTTACTGAAATGTTCAGAGAGCTTGTTACTCTCCCAGAAGGGGTATAGCTGCGTTGAATTACGTCTCATGTTGTTGCCTTGGATTGAGGGTTAACACACACGTAACACTACTCAACACAGAACCACTAACCCACCGCTACGCACAACCACGCTCCCCAATAACGCACTGATGATGTCACCTCGATTGGTGATGAAATGTTTGCAATCAAATTGCCCAGCTCAGTGAACAAGCCATTAGGATTAGATCTTGAACTATTGAATGAGAAGCCTATGTTTCGAACATACTTTTGACTTTTTGGACCATTGCTAGCCAGCGTCGAATGACCTGACAGTATTTTTGCCCTCATGCTTCCTGGGTCGAGTAGCAATGCAGCAAAAGCGCACCACAGCTGTGACTGATTGACCGTGGGCTCGTTTGTTTAAATTTATACGAACTTGTCCCACTACCTTGAACATTTTCATCCATAGTGATTCGAACCATGTTGTCTATAGTTCGCTTTTATGTCGGTCTCCCTTTGTGTTTCAGGCACCCGTCTGAAGTAATCTTCACTACAGCGATGTACTTGCTCAACCAGATTATGTGGCATTTCCCGGATGAGGGCCGCCCGGAGGTTCGTGCTTGCTCGGGTCATGTCAGCCTGTCCGACTTGTTGTCCAAAGGTCGTCTGGATGATCCAAACTGGATTGTCATTTGCGTGGATACCATCCGAATGACAGTCTACCGAGACAGTGAGACCAAGGTGAGTGACAATTGGACGCCCGGGATAACGAGGAATCTAACAAATGGATGCCAGCTAGCACAAACACACACACGCGTCTTCGTTCATTTCCACTAGCCTGCTCGTTTGCTTTTTAGCAAGGAGAATAAATTCTCTAGTTATATATGGTCCCCCCCCCGATAAGTGATCTCGGGATGATTTTCAATTAGTACCCTTTGTGTAGCTTGCAAAAGTTGGACTGTGCTCCCATGTAGAATATGTTCCACCGGGCTGTGCTGTCCCACTTACCGGTGGTCCGCCAGGGAGAGAAGTGACATTGGCTGGCTACCAAGCTTTACCAAATAAGTGATCGATAACCTCGTGTTTTTTCAATACTTGTACGTCAGTTTATGGTGGTGATATCGTTCTTGATCAGAAATAGCGGAGTGTGTAGGAACACGACCCGTGCTTGAACGCGGTCCATCGTTTTCCTTCAAACAGCAGGCATCTTACGAGTTCCGTGACCACTGGAGCCTGTTTCATAATAATCCCCTGAGGGTAACCCGTATAACAGCTCGCATCCCACAGTCCGCTACCCACATCAAGCGCGAAATGAATCCAGCGGTACTACCCTGCTTATGTATCTAACCTCTTTAATTTACTCTTTAACCGTAAGACAGTCGCCTTTATGAGCTTTCGAAAGGAGCATTTAGGCAGACCCGTTCGCTTACCTATCAGCTGTTTCTCTCCGTTTTGCAGTTGGCCCTTCTCCCAACCCATTTGCATACCGATTTGGTTCGTCTACTCAGAACCTACCTGAATCACCCCAAAGTGACATACAATGTTACGCGGTTGATAAAGGTGCTTGGGACTTGCAACGAGAACAAAACGAAACTGGTACGGTGTGAAGCCGTTGAGGTAGGTTTGTACACAAGTTTTCCTATTCCATTATGATGATCCTTGTAGTCTGGATGAATACGCGAAGCCTCGATCAACTCCAGGAATCTGGGTAATGACATGGGAAACTTGTTCTTCACTGTTTCGGCGCAGATTATTTACAGCTTAAGTCAGTATCAGGAAGCCTGGCCAGGGGTCAGTAAACCTCGAAAGAGTCAGTCAGCTAACTCCTAGGTTTCGATCGGCCGATCTTTTACAGATAAATCCCGCCAAAAAGTTAACCCCCGCTACTCAAAAAAGATTAGAGAAAAGGGGATGTGAAATTTGTACTTTTAGTTTTTATTGAAGAAGGCGATATTGAGACATGTCATTAATAATTTGCATGAAAAGGTCCGTCGTTGGATCAACAAAGTTTTCGGTATGGTCAACAGTTTCATGAGTATAATTCATGTAAATCATCGTTTCAATTCCTTGGTATGATGCCCACATATCGGAAATGATGGTTGAGCCGGGAGCGATACAGGCCTGGATTGTGTCCATCAGAGAGGCTTCAGTTCCATCTGGCACTGCATACATGAATACCTCTAGTTTCCCGGCAGATCCCTCCGAAAATCCACTGCCCTGCGTGGTTTTCTACGGCGAGATATTAGCGTTTCATCGATCTCGACGTTAAAAACCCGGGCCCCCGACAACTGTTAGAGTCTGCAAAAGCCGTCAGTCGCAAACTTCGTGAGGAAAGTTTTTCCAGTCAACAGCGGTCGTGTGGCTAATAGATAATTCCTCTGAGAAGAATTTGATTTTTGCCAAATTTTTGGACCAGCAATAAATGAATAGAATTATTGTCCTAAACTCCATCCTAGACCGCTCCAGCCAAGTTCTCTTTCGAAGACCGATTTCTTTCCGACACTGCTGGGCATTACACCACCTGTCAGAAACAGTTAAAAGTGTCATTCGGTGGTCATTGGTGCACAAACTTTGTTGATGGATCACTCCGTGGCTTTGCAAAAAACGTATTGCCGTCTCCTTGTCATGAACGAGAGTTGAAAGCGTCAGAAAGTTCATTTAAGGCTTTACGTCCGAACGGAGAAAATGTTTGCACAAAATGAGCCTAGATGCGGATAAGGAATTGTTTTCATCAAAAATAGGTCAAGGTTGTGTGCGTACATTAAATTGGATCTGGCAAAAGGTAGCGGGACTTAACTTTTCGCACATGCACTTTTTGCATTAGTGGCGGGGCTTATATGGAAAAGATACGAAATTTTGGCGTATGTGGTTCTCTTTGGGGAGAATTCGGAGAGCTACGTTGGTTGACCCATATCCCAGGCCAGCGGTAACATTATCACGTGATACTTTAGGTGTTGCGTGCTAATCGGTATCATATGAGCTCGTCCGCCACGCAGTTTTTCAGTAGCGATAAAGTTGTGCGTCCCACTTCCTCAAGAACTGCTTGTATGTTTCAGCAAAGAGTTACAGCCGATTTCGGATCTCTTCCCATCTGTCAGCTATTTATTTGGCCATACTTAACTTAGATTCTTCCCTTCATTTTAGGCTCTAACACCGCTGCTTCAGTCGAAAAATGAATTTCTCGTCTTGGAAACCCTGTGGAGCTTGCGGAACCTTAGTGACCATGCCTATCACCTGGTAAACACGGAGACCCTCATCATGAGACTGATCGACTTGTTGGGCAGTACAGATGAGAACATATCGATCTGTGCCACGGGTTGCTTGTGTAACCTTACCTGTCAGAATGTACATAACAAAAGCCTGGTGGTTGAAAACGGTGAGTGGTCGATTGCATTCGTGCGGTAGCTCTTTATAAGGTAAACCAACCTTGGATAGTGATTGCACCAGCCTCAATGAGTAAGTCAGCTGAGTAAGCCACCATGACCCCCCTGTTTAGTCATATGTTCAAGTAGCCTGGCTAATCGATTTTCGCGGCTTAATAGGCCAGCACTTTGTCATGCTTCGCCTCTCCTCCCTCACAAGGCACAATCCGACGGGATCATCTTAGATCGGTGTTTGCTGTTCATCTCTTCTGAGAATTGCTTTACAATTAAAGTGTGATTTAAAGGATTACGATCAATCGTTCATTGTTAGGATTGCTCTACCCCAGAGCTCTGTTGCTGTTCTTTATGTTATCTCAACTGTTGCATATTTTCCACCTGTTACAATCCGTTACTCCCTTCGAGTCTAAATATGGCCACTTTTCTCTTGGTAGTCTGTTCTCTCTGTATGGTTTTTCATTGGGCTCTCTGTCGCAGAATCCACCCCTTTGCTTGGTCTCTTTCTGGGGTTGTGTTGCGTCTCTAACTGTATTGTATCGGGCAAAAACAAAACTGTGCTAATCCAAATAAGCTAACTAGGGTTTTTTGGCTGTCTTGATTAAACTCTCCAGACACTGATTGTGTTGTTTCGGGTGATTGACAAAGCATTGTTCTTTCCTGCTTCACAAGAAATCCCTAGACCTTTCCAAAAATGCAACACAAGATGCAGTGAGATTGCTTCTACTGAGCAATGCATAAAAAAATCGTTCAACTGTAGCACCCTTTCGGTGCCTAACTGCCATTCCACCCGGAGGTTGCACGATGGCTGGGATACTGCCAGGTTGCCCAAGCCTAGACAGGGGAAGTCGAGAGGCAGAGGTCGGGTTCGACCCGCGGACCTGCCGATCAGTAAATTCGCGCTCTAACCACTGAGTCATCACCCGCAAGGCTTGGATACTGCCAGGTTGCCCAAGTCCACACAGAGGAAGTCGAGAGGCAGAGGTCGGGTTCGAACCACAGACCTTCCGGTCAGTAAATTCGTGCTCTAACCAATTGGGCTATCTCGCCCCCTATCGCTAGATTTATATCGACAATCCAATCGGTTGTAATAAGGCGGAGCATTTTCTTCTTAGGACATAATCAACCAGAAAGTAGGTCACAGAAGTTGCCCGAAAGGAACATCGCGTTTCGGTTTCTTTTCGCGACGTGTATCCTCTATGTGTTAACAATAAATTCCATTAATCGTGCCTTCAAAGAGTAGTGAGAGTGAGTGACACAAAACAACCGCCCGACGAGTGTCTGCCAGTTGCATCTGCCGCCTTAGATACATTTCACCTGCTGTTTAAAGCGAAGTTGAACAAGCTAAGTTACGACAATCGTTAGCATATGGTTGAATCCGGCTCATATCTTGACAACCCTCGCTACAACAGTCGCATGGTTTCACCGACCAGTAGGTTATTGTCCCTTTCAATGGACTCAGATCTGTAAATCCAGGTGAAACAAGACAGAACAGTTTAATCACTGGACTCATATGATACTGGTGAAAAACAGACGTGTCAGGAAGTGTTAAATGCTCAGGAGGAAACGCTTCTTTCTGAATGTATAGATGACCCACCCAGGTTACCGGCAAATTACTGCTAGGTAACTTGACAGCTAGGATACTGGTGCCACACAGGTTTGCATTCCTGGTGTCCGGGGTTTGAATCCGGGCACGGTAAAATGCGTACTGACGGCGAGCCTCAATAAATGCTACACTGGACTAGTCACAATCATCGTGCTGAAATACGATGAGGGGTGATGTGAATACCGATCCTAAAAACCCCGCAGTTGCCCACAACTGACACATTTATTGGAGTTTGTGGTCCATGAGCTTCTCACTGACCTGGTGATATGTGCACATTTCGCATAGTTCTGAAAGGCGGCAGAAGAGAAGTTCACGATTAGAATTCAGGCACCACCGGCAATGACCGTTCCTCACCACCGGAAACTGATATCCATGTGGTCATTGACCGGGTGTCGTGTGATCGAAGAATTTTCACTGTTCCGTACTGTGAATCCATCCACACATATTCACACTGGGCGTTCTTCGTTGTCCTTGCGCCTCTAAGACGACTATCTATTTGATATTCAGCAGATTTGAGCCTACCTACTTGTTCGTTCCTCTCCCTATTGAGGCGAGACGGTCCAAGTGGCTAGAGTGCGAAGGTACTAGCCGGAAGGTCCGTGGTTCGAACCCGACCTCTACTTCTCGACTTCCCCTGTCTAGGCCTACGCAACGTGGCAGTATTCCAGCCCTCGTGCTTCCTTCGGGTGGTATGACAGCTAGACACCGAAAGGGTGTTACAGCTGAATGTTGACTACTGGAGTTGATCATTCCGAAGTGAGGCGCTATCTTTTCCCTCGTAGTGAAGAACGTTCTACACCTCACTAAATCACACACTCGTAGTTGAGCCGGCCAATTTTTTCTGCTCGCCGACTACTTTGCATTCTCGCTATTCTATTCGTGTAGGCGGGGTCACGCGCCTCTGTCAGCTGCTTAATCTGAATCCGGAGCGGCAAGAAATCACAGAGCCCATCTGTTCGGCTCTACGTCACGTGACGCACCGTAGTCAGCATGCGAACGCCGCAATCTACGAGGTGAGTACTATTATTGTAAAATTTTCATCAGTACTAATACGTCGTACATTTTTGAGTGCTCACTGCTTGAGGAATTAAAGCTCCTTATATGTACAATGGTTGTTTCACGCTTGTTTCTAGTCAGCTGTCAAAGGTGTTAATAATTTAGGAACCTAGAGTGGTGATAGCTGGCCCACAGCCAATCTGACCAGTTGGATGATACCTACTTGCGTTTTCTGTCATCGTATCCAACTGTATCAATGAACCCTTGGATAGGCTAGCAAAACCGCTAGCAACTTCTACTGATCAGCGTGTGTGTGCAAAACGAAATCCCCTATAAAACCGGAAGAATAAAATTGGATTACATCCAGAAAGTGAAGAGTGTAACACTGCCAATGTGTCCGACTTGTGGATCATGTCATTCAGATAGGGCAGTTGAACATTTGAATCTCACAGCGGGTGAGTGGGTTGCCAGAACTCCCATGAAACTCATGCAGGGCGTTAAGGGGAAGATTTGTTGGTCAAAACACTCGCTCTGATACGCAGCGTGGATGCATATCTCATCTAACCTCAATGCTGTTGGTGATGGTTCAGTCTGGGATGAAAGCGTTTGATTAAGATGCTCTAGGAACTTATACAATAAACAACAGTGTTTACCTCAGAGTTTGCCGTATGTTTTTTGCCTCGGTGCATCATAGGACACTAAACGGCTATTGGGCATTTTAGTTGAGTTAAGAATCCTTCGGTGGATCATTGGTGATTTACCATAAGGCCTTCGATTTAGTTGGACTAGACCGGTTCCGTTATGAGTGGTCTGTAGATGTACTGGGTATATGGCAATACTAACCCTTGGTGTGTTGATCGTGACTGTAATGGAATGGAACCTCGAATTGGTCCTTGTGCTGTGCAAGGATAACAATATACTATTAACCACAAAGGACCTTGTCGAGTCTCAAGTTCTGGCGAATTTATCATGCATTTGGACACGGAAAAAAGTAAAATCCCAATCAAATTGATTTTCAGGTTGAGGATGCTTTTCTCCAAACAAAGTGAAATTGTAGTAGACTCTTTTTGGGCTTTGAGCACTCGTCCCAAACTACTAATATCAAGTAGTGGCAAAGCCACTCTCCCAAAATGCGAGGCATTTACGATAAACATTCACTCGAGTTCAATACGGTAAGCAGAATCTGCAAAGGCCGTCCCTGTCTGCCCTTCCCCTTTAGTCAGGGTACCTGAGGCTCTCCTGCCTGCTTCTGGCACTCGGGGAACTGAACTGGTCACCTGTCATAAGCTGCAATGGTTAAACAGCTTACTTCATGTGTCACACCTCCCGGAGCCATTTTCGTGCAGGCATGCACAGAGTGGAAATGACCAAATAGTCTGTGACTACCAAGAAAGTGTGAAATTCTCTACCAGGAACCTCAGTCGCGTTGGCAACTATAGTCTTCCCGGTTAAAGCCTCAGGGCAAGACACAACAATACAAAGTGATGTCGACAAGCATGACCCGTGACGCTCCTGCTTCAAATCAAGCGTCTTCAGTGCGTATCTTTCCCGATTCATCTTGGAAGATGAGACCCTTTTTTTCATAAATGGACTGTCACATTCATTGTCCTCCTCTTATTTTGTTTGTCGTTGATTGGCTGATTTGTGCAAGCTAGAACGAAAATCCCTTTGCTGCGTGATTGTTCAACTAGTACCTAATCCAAGCCGATGGAAACGTTGCTAACCAAAACATAATTCATTGCAAACTACATTCATTTGCAAACAAATTTGGTTTTGCGAGAGTCATCTAGAACCTGGTTGAATCACTCTATTGTGATGTTTCCAGGCAACTCACCAGACCGCCTCATAGTTCAGTCGCTACGATATTCGAGATATCGCGATGCATGTATATGCCTAATGCACTACTTGTAAGGTTGGTGGAAATTCTTCGACATCCCACGACCGGTTCCGCCCTTATTGGGGCTCATCAGGTGGGCGCAGTCCCCGAGTTACCGTCAACCTTATGTTCTACGTGAAATCGAATCGCAGTGCAAGTGCAGCACATTCAGTTGCCTGGACACATCTTAAACGAAAGATTCAGCTGGGTTCCAGGTGAGTCCCTCCCAAAACCAAATTTATTTGCAAATGAGTCTATTTTAGTAACTACGTGGTTTCAAGTGGAACATAAGGTTGACGGAAACTCTGGGACTGCGCCTACCTGATGAGCCCCAACAAGGGCGAACGTAGTTGTGGGCTATCGAAGAATTTTCAGCAACCTTATGAGTAGTGCATTACGTATAATTCACTGCGTTTTCTTCGTGAACCCTTAAACCATATGTGGCGCATTTGGTCCTTCAGGAAATCTCTCCTCCTATCTTTTTTCCTCCCTCCCCCCTCCAAAGATTCGTTCACAGAATACGCTGGAGACGATTGCCTCGCTCTTGTTGCAAAACAGTGAAATTGCATCGTTGCCTCTTATCAAGGCGGTAGTGGGTCTGATAAGAAATATAGCTATGGAAGATGAATCTCGCAAAGAAATGAAGTGAGTGTCGGTGGAATTCTTAACAGTTTTCTGATGTGGAATTGATTTTGGAGCAACCAAATTTGTTACAGGTTTATGCGGCTCCACTTTAAGTACTATTCGTGACAGGGTGTGTTGCGATGCTATTTCAGTTTTATTTCTTCCGCTATTTAACCGTTGGCTTTCATTGTTTGACTGGTGTAGGCGTTGTGTGTGTGTCACCCAGTCCATGATTTGACCGGTGCAGACAGTTTTGTAGCCAACGCCTTGCTTTACATGTTGATCGCCAGGCTCACATTTCGTTCAGGTGTGCCAGTCGTCGCTCCCATACACAATCAAACCGCTGACGATAGAAAATACGACGATGGGCGCTTCTGGTAGGAAGAGTGTTGTGTCTTGCTGAACGGTAGTGCAACTCTGTATCGGTCCCTTGTCTTCCTGCTCCGCCGACTATGGTATATCAGAAAGGTACGGTAGCTCGACACAGCCCTTTATGGAGACAAAGGAAAATTATTACAACTGTATTTATAGGGTTGTCACAGAGTGTTCCACAAGGTCGTGCCAGAATCTCCGTGAGGTGGTGAGAAGCGTCGAGTCGAGGTGCTTGACTCGGATTGGCTGGCATTCTGACCAATCAGGGCATGCCTTCGTTATCCGTCCAATGATGTGGTGTTCGGTTATTAGGGACGGGTAGCCTCCGTACAAAGAGCTAACCTCAAAGGAAGACTGTGCTCAGTTCTGCATAAGATGACACCTATTTCGGCCGAGACCAAACCGTTGCTGATCGCCCATAGCTTCAGTTGTCTTCTGACACGGCACTGTCACCGCGACTGAGTTGTACAGAGCTCACGTCCAGGTGCTGAAATCAGACAATTACCAATCCCCTCTCTAATGTGCTGTAAATCATCGCGACTCCTTTGGTGATACGTCGCTGTTGTAATTTGATGTCAACTAATCCCTATGGCGCGTCTTTTCCCCCGGTTTTCAAGCACATGAAAATGTGCCTTCATCGAATGTGTGCGTGCATTTCCTGTGCGATTTCAGTTGTCTGTATATACCATCAACTTTCAAGTGCCTTTTGACTTTTGGTCCACGTTCTAGTTAGAGGCTTAGGTAATGGTGAAGCATCGTCATCGACAGCAGCAGCGAAAACGAAAGGGGATGCTGGCACTTCACTTCCGTAGGTGTGTGTGTCTCATCATCATCATGATTGTCAGCTGTAATAACCCCGCATTAGTCGTACAGTGGTTTTAACTGCCACGGTTTCGCTCACCGATGATTCAGGAGGAATAACTCATCCTCGATAGATGAACTGACCACACTGCATAGGTCGCGCTGACTTGGCCATGTGCTGCGTATGCCAGTTGACCAACGTCCTCGAAGGGCTCTTTTCGCACAACCACATGAAAGCTGGAAGAGAGCAAGAGGCGGTCAAACAATGACATAGCAACGAGTCATGAAAGCCATTACCAGCAAACTCAGCTGCGCTGTCATTGCCATCTTCCTGGATAGGGACCCCGAGACGGGCCCATATCAATGGTTAGAGACATTATCAGACATGGCCCAGTCACGCATTCAATGGCGCTCATGCACCCAAGCTATTGCCTTCAATGCATAGCTCCTTTTCCAACCCCCCCCCCACTTGACAGCCCACTGACAGTGCTGGATTTATGCGCCAGTTTATCAGCTCCTGCCTGCAATGCGCAGCTACCTACCCCACTTCCCCGAATCATCGGTGTGTGTGTGTGTGTGTGTGTGTGAATATTGCCTCATAGCTGAAAGGAGAAAAACGGAACAGGAAAGGGGCCTTGGACTACCACAAACATCCGAGGTGCCTACACTCCTAGTACTCATTCAGACATTCTGGATACAGACTGACGGCATGACTGCCATTGACATCAGTTAGCTGCTGTATCGTTCAGTGTCTCCAGCCAATCACAGGCATAGGCACGTGAACCCCAGTCTGAAAGTACCTGTCCACTACTGCATTGTGTTGTACAGGCTAAACGTTATCCGCTAATTCGACAAATACACTCACTAGCGTGCCACTTTGGTTTTCATGGCAGTCTCACCTGAATCCCAGCTGAATTGCTCATGCTGTTTTTAAGCAACTGAATGTGGTGCACCAGGCCGCCTCAGGTTTCAGTTGACACTCTCTTGGATACGTCGTAGTACATTGTATAGACCTGGCAAATTTATCGTATTTTTTTTGAAAACTCTTCAACTGCTACGCTTATGTACTAGTTTTTCTGTGCGATCTTCCCGGGTCAACCGATCCAATCACAAAAAAGCGAATAGGAGGTTTCCGCCCCATCCATACTACCACCATCGCTGTCCGTTTTTGTTAGCCGCATGTACACGCCCCAAATTCACCGGAACCTGTACTCTAACCAGACGGTTTTGGTCTCAACTAACTAGTTCACATGCTTCAGAAAAAGCTGGTTCGCAAAGCCATTATTAATTGTGTGGATGTTCTGGTCTGGTCCACAAGTCACCAGTGTAGGGTGAAGCGAGCGAGGTAATTCTCATCAAAGTCAACTCTTCGTGTAGTGAAAGGCGAGATGACTCAGTGGTTGGAGCATGAATCTAATGACCAGAAGGTCCGTGGTTCGAACCCGACCTCTGCCTGTCGACTTTCCATTTCTAGGCTTGGGCAACCTGGCAGTATCTCAGCCCTCGAGCTTTCTTCGGGTGGTATAGCAGTTAGGCACCGAGAGAGTGTTGAAGCTGAACGGCACCTCGCTAAGTGAGCTACCGAATTCACAAATGGGAACTTGTTTTAGACTGCCTACCTCTCTTGATCTACATTTTAGGGTTAGGCCGTAAATTTATATCTTCTTAAAGACAATAAAGATTAATAGACGCACGTTACAAATCCCTGTCCTCGTACTAACCGTTTCCCAGGATGACCTTATGACCGTGAGTGAATTCGGCATGCATTCGGCTTTCTTGTACGATCCAATCCGTTTTCATTTCTTAGATTTGTTGCACTATTTATTCAGTTGACATGAAATTTCAGGACCGTTCCATTTCTCAAAATTCCACACTGCACTTGATCATCACCACTTGAAGTGATTGAAGGATGCCCGAGTTTCCCGTGTCCATAAAGTGGATTAGAGCAACTGGGGTAAATGTTGGTACCACTTTGGAGTTACACTTGTGTGCTTGAAACTGGGGAAAAACGAAGTCATGTGATAAACACCACATCATGGCATCAGGCTCACGATAGCTTAAGGCGTGACCAGAAAGTTGGTGATCCGTACCCAATCTCTGTATATTGTCTAGGCTTGGGCAACCTGGTAGTACCTCAACTCTGGTGATTCCCTCGGGTGACATGGCAGTTGTGAATCGAAAGAATGTTATTACTGAACCATTAGTGTGCGAGAATGGCTGAGTGAATTCTCATTATTCGGTTCCGTTTTTTTTTACAAATGCACCACGCTGTGGTAATCCCTCGTAGCCCCTGTCCTTCAACCTTCTTGTTGTTCTCTCTTTGCTCTCCAGATCTCTCGGCGTTGTTCGATCTTTGACCCACATCCTCAGGCAGACATACCAAACCGCGAATCGGAACAGTCTGGCGTCCACAGAGGATGCGGAAAACCTCGACCCCAGCATGGGATCCATTGAAGGAGTTCGACTGGATGAGATGATCGAATTATGTCTGGTTGCATTGCAGGCTATGGCCAAAGAACCGGAAGTTCGTGATGAGTGCATACGCACTGCCGGTCTGCTGCCCACGACGGTTCAAGTAAGCCGATAACCGCTCTATTGTCCCTAGTTGTCACACTGTATGCTAGTCAAATATCCCTACCGTGAACTCGGTGATCATTGGCCGGTCCTTCCAAGTCCCCAATCACTCTTTTATCAGTACTTATATCTTCCGGACGGTTTTCAGAATCATCATCATCATTGTCAGCTGTAGTACCCGCGTACTCGTCGTACAGTGGTTGTAGCTGCCGCAGTTTCGTTCACCGATGATTTGGGGGGAGGGGTGGGTAGCTGCGCATTGCAGGCGGGAGCTAATAAATTGGTGCATAAATCCAGTACTATCAGTGGGCTGTCAAGTGAAGGGGGGCTAGAAAAGGAGCTATGCATTGACGGAAATAGCTTGGATGCACGAGCGCCATTGAGGGCACGAGTGCACCATGTCTCTAGCCAGTGATATGGCCCGTCTCGGGATCCCCATCCAGGAAGGCGGCAATAAGCAGCGGAGCTGAGTTTGCTGGTAATGGCTTTTATACTTCGGTGCCAAGTCACTGTTTGACCGCCTCTGGCTCTCCTCCACCCTTCACGTGGTTGTGCGAAAAGGGCCCTTCGAGGAAGTCGGTCGGTTTTCAGAATAGATGCAGCTGTTCAGTTTCCAATGGAATTGACGTACGGTCTGAGCATTTCACCAATGCAGTTATGGCAAATAATATTGTTCGTTTTGCGTGCAATTACTCAGGGAGGTTGTGTACGGCAATATATACGTATCACCACGACATTCTCATCTAACCTATGCTCCTCGACTTCAAGGGATGTGGGCTATTGAAAGGAACGTTCATGGTGCCCGTGGTCCTCCTCTCCCAGACCCACCTTAAAATATCAACGAAGCTGTCAAAATAGCGAATTGGAGTGACTTACCGCCAAGCTCGAGATGGTAAAGTAGGTTGGACGTAGGGAGCAATAATCCACTGGCGTATTGAATGTTACCGAAACCGAACAACTGAACGATCCAACTTTTTTTCGGACGTTTGAGTCTACCCGTCGATGTCTGGAGCTGTTATGCATGGTCCATGTGTTGTAACCGTGGAATCATCATCATCAGCTGTAAAAACGCGTGCTTGCCGTGTAGTGGTTGTTCATCGACGATTTGGGTAGATAGCTGCGCATTGAAGGCGGGAGCTGACATAATTGATGCATAAATCTAGGGGAACCTGGAAAGGAGCTATGCATTGAAAGTAACAGACTGAATGCACGAACCCCATTGAGGGCAAGACTTGGCCATATCTGACTATATCTGTAACCGCTGATGTGTCCCGTATCAGGGTCCCCATCCAGGGAGATGGCAATAAACAGGGCGTCTGGGCTTCCTTGTAAAGGAACGTCTGGGTTAACCCACTAGCTGCCCATATTAGGCCATACATGAAGCGAACCTATTGCATAGTCGGATACAGCATATTGTGCTTTGGCTTGCGTCACCTAGCTGGTGGTCTCCATTTCACTGTCATACGATTTCGTTCTCGCACCACCACAACTACGGAAACATGTTACCAGTGGTAGAGAATAGCTCTGGGTCAACTGCGGTCTCCATTATCTCTGTGTGTGTGTGTGTGTGTGTGTGTGTGATATGCCACAGCATTCCGTTTGAGGACAGCAAGGCACCACACAAGACAGTGCAGTGTGAATGGGCCCGCATAAAGTCCACGCGTGTCGCGCTTGTGGTGTTGTCACACGCGTTATCACCAGGTCACAGACGACCGTGTATGTGTGGTTGACTGCCGATCCGTGTTAGTGGTTCCCGCACCTAGAATGTCTGTATTACCGAAAACGAAGTAAATTCTGCTCATCTACTCCAGTGGCTAAAGGTGAACATGTCATAAGCATCACTTTGACGATAGACGAAGAGTTTTTTTTTGGAATATCAACCCTTCCCCGAAAACAATTGAAATCGTTCAGCTGTATCACTCTTGTGGTGCCTAGATACCATGCCACCCGAGGGAAGTGTTAGTGTTCTAGTTGTGACGTAATTAAGGTAACACGCACTAACAAATGTCTGTCTTACTAGAATGTGATGAATACAATAGTTGGGTGTACTTGATAAAAATAGATACAATGTGAAAAGTGGAATAAGCCACAAAGCGACTTATCGTTTGAGAGTTCCTGAGTGAAGTTCCGGACGCGGGACGTGTCTTCTCTGCAGTATAGCTGTTACACGTGTTCCGTAGTTATCCGTGGGGACTCGCGGAACTCTGCTGACTTCCTGTCCTGTGTGCGTTGAGCACCTATTTATTGTTCGCATTGTGAAGGGAAGGGTGTCCCTTCGTGTTTGATGCTTGCACGAACATGAATACAACTTGACCTGATGTGTTGAATGAAGTTCATAATCCTGGCAGGTGACGAAGTGGTAGCCGCGTAAACAAAAACGGTTGGGAAGTTTTACTGTACATGTTGTCGGTTGTCACATGGTTTGAGTGTTTGTGACGCGTGATCTGATGAGTGACCTCTACAGAATTACGAAGGCTCGGTTACTGCCAGGTTGCCCAAGTCGAGTGGCAGAGGTCGGGTGCGAACCACGGACCTTCCGGTCAGTGAATTCGCGCTCTAACCACCGAGCTATCCCTTTCCCATTGTTTTGCAGTTCTGAATCTCACCGGTTTTTCTGCTTTTTATTCTGTGGCGATTGCCGATTTTCACATTGCTAAAACACCTTGTTTGAGCGTAATTGTCACTCAAAACTACGATGGAGTTGATCGTTATCGAGATGCTCAACGTGGGCGTCGATCATGTTAGAAGTGAACCGAATCACGTGTGTATCAAGAATGCACCAATGACATCCAAACAGAATCGATGACGCGTCACAACTCATCAGTATCCATTCTGACCCGATAGAAATACCCTTTGAAAATTCCCTCTCAGTTTGATTCTTCTGTAAACAACAACATGGTCGGTAATACCATTCAAGCCAGTCAACGGAGTAAGCCGCGCACAACGGAACATTTTTCTGTTAGTAAATGGTATATCATAGGAGTTTTTAAGGGAACTTATTCATTGGGCAGAACATACCATTTGTAGCGGATCCGCTCAGAACTGAGGCAACTAGTGATAGGTATGTAGCATTTATAGTACGGAGGCGAACTTCACAGACGTGGATAAATAATCCCGGGTCCGGTTACACGCATGCTAAGGAGAAAGTATAGGGAGTTGTGACGAAAATTCCAGAGCCCCACATCTATTGAAGGTACCAAATCAGGGTTCTGTCTACGATCCTACTAGTTATTTGAAAGGTCATGTATCCTGTTGATCGCTCAGTGGTCAGAGCGCGAACTTACTAACCGGAAGGTCCGTGGTTCGAACCCGACCTCTGTCTCTCGACTTTCTTTGTCTAGGCTTGAGCAACCTGGCAGTATCCCAGTCCCGGTGCTTCCTTCGGGTGACACGGCAGCTGGGCACTGAACGGCTCTTACAGCTGGACGATGATTATCTTTTGTCATCTTGTCTGATTATGAAACGCTATCTGGTGCTGAACACGGTCACCGATCCAAACTATGGAAATAATCCTTAGCGGGTTTCTAAGGAATTTGGAATCTATCGGTTTGGTTTGTCGTACGGAAGTGTGTGAAAAGTACGAGTTATCTTTGCATCATCTTTAGGGTGTTTCTCGTGCACACACACTGATATGCGGATGATTTTGCCTTAAGAATGTTAGCCCCCTTCGAATTGGCCGTAAGCTCCGTCAGAATAGTGAGTGACGGATGCTTCACTACGGTGTTCATTATTGCTGATAGCTTGTTTCGTGAGGTCCCTGATTCACTCCTGCAGCTGACTCTTGTCTAAACCCCGTCGTTGTAGATTGCTCCTATCCTCTACATTCCACTCACCAACCGTATTGAAAATGTAGACAGAACTTCGCTGAATAGTGAATCGGATAGTGATCACAAACGGGTGCTTTGGGAAGTTTTTTTCTTCGAATAGTTATTGGTTGCATGAAAGCCATTGGATTCCTGATTGGTCCGTGCCTTAGTGTTACCGGGTTTGCATCCCCGGCGACGCGGACTACCAAAACGAGTGAGTAATTTCAGTGTTTTGGCCTTCAGATTTATTTGCCTCATCTAAATTGACTGAGCTCAGATAGCTCAGTGGTTTGGGACGAGAACTTACTGACCAAAACGGATTGTTGGCCGAACCCAACGTCTGCATCTCGACTGCGCCTGTTTAGGTTTGGGCAAGCTGGCAGTACCGCGGCCCTCGAGCCTTTCCCGGGTGGTTTCGCAGCTGGACATCGAAATGTTGTTACATCTGAACTGCTCAGTTTCTTCCGATGGGCGAATAGGGATTTTTGTTAGGTTGGTCTGCTGTCATTCAAAGCATATTGACAAGCCAACTCAGTCTGAGGTGAGTTGGCTTCCCTCCATCCTCCGTAACTTGGCATCTCATTTTACTGCCCAAAAAATTAACGAAGTCAAACATCACTAGTTCACTGTCCAAGGTAGGTAGCTGCTTTTCCTCTGGTGCGACATTGTGACTTCTTCGCGAGGGTTTCTAAATGCTATACGAATACCGCAGTCTAGCTCTTCTAAGGTCGATGCACTCTGTTTACTCCTGTTGTCTTCTTGCCCCGGATTACTTCGTGTAGGCGACTCTGACGGACAGACGGGGTTGTTTGATCATACTAGACGACCAGAGGTGATCATACACTGAGTGAAAAAAAATCGTCCAGTTGTAGCACCCTTTCGGTGCCTAGCTGTCATGCCACACGAAGGAAGCACGAGGGCTGGCCAGTTCGCCCAAGCCTACACAGGGGAATTCGAGTGGCAGAGGTCGGGTTCGAACCACTACCTTGTGGTCAGTAAATTCGCGCTGTAACCACTTGGTCCATCTTGCCCCTGAGTGAGCCAGCTTACGGTCGGTGCTGAAACTCGTCAGTTAATTTTAACCCATAATTCTCTTGCCATTGAGTTAAGGCAACATTCCATTGTTGACCTTGTTTGACCAATTCTGCCTTCTTTTTCTTTTAGCTTTTGTACACACCGATTCCGTCGATACAACGAGCCTCAGTCGCCCTGCTCAGCCTACTCGCCTCAAGCAAGGCTGGCGCGAAGGCAATCGAACAGGAGGGAGCTTGTCCGAAACTCACGGAAATGATACAGTCGAGCAATGAGTACATCGGTTAGTGCATTACCACCCTGCCTGCTTTCCCCTGCTGATGCGTATTCCCATACAGTGATTTTGAAATTTCCGCTTCATAGTGAAGCCCGTGGTTTTAGTAGTTTTTTGTCCTTAACCGGTAGTGATGTATTGTATCAGGGAAAGCGGGATGTGAAATAATGAGACGGCTTTCATATAGGCTGGATGCGACCGAAAAACTTTCGGTGTAAGATGTGTTATAAAGCTGTTCGATTCAACGGTGCTTCACTGCGCCCACCGACGGTTGTCAAAGGATGCCGGTTCTCTGGTCCCGTTCTACAAGTGATCACATGTGAACTCTCCGTAAGTCACAGTTCAACCTCATCTTGAGGACGCCATTTGTTCGGTGGGGGGTCGGATAATGAGGTTGCCGTTACAACAAACGATCTACTGGCAAGCCCAACCCATTAATAAACTTTCACCACCTTAATCTGAGATGGTTATCTTGTCGCAGAATGCAAGATGATAAAAGAAGTTTTTTTAGTAGCCGTGGCTTTTTTGGAACTCAGATAAAAGTGCCTGCCTCTGTTTACTTCTTGTAACGACGGAACCTACCCTCTACGTAATCTGTTTTTGTTTCTAAACTAAACGTCCCAATATCATGTCAGCACATCACACACAGATGCGTATTGGTTTACGAATTTCTGTGAACTCAGGCACTAAGAAGCCTAGGGGGCGAGATGGCCCAAATGGTTAGAGCGCGATTTTACTCACCGGAAGGTTCTTGTTCGAATCCGACTTCCGCCTCTCGACTTCCTCTGTCTAGGCTTGGGCAACCTGGCACTATCCCACCCCACGTGCTTCCTTCGGGTGGCATGGCAGCTAGGCACCGGAAGGGTGCTACAGCTGAACGCTATCAATCTACTGAGAAGCCTAAATGAGGCTTTTGGGAGTGATTTTCGTTGGCCAGTCTGTCCTCCGACATATTCGCAACTCCAGAGTAGTGTTTGGTCGGGACAGTCTCCCGATTTTACTCCTCCGGAAGAAGTCATCTTGATTCTTCGAGACATGTTCAGGAGATTACTCTGTTTTCCTTGTGCAAACCAGTGATAAGCTCCGATTTACTGGACGTCTGAAGCTACTCATTCCCCTCCCCCTTTCGTTTGTGTAGCCGCTTACTCTGCCGCTGTGCTTCATCGGATTACCAAGGACAAACCGGAAGAATACAGACGCAGACTCTCCCTGGAGTTGCGCCAGTCTTTGTTCGACGGTGGACTTTTGCTTGATCCCAACTCAATGGTCAAATCGAATCAGAGTCAACTGAACCTACCGGTTGGCGAGGAGGCGACGTCTGCCAGTAGGCAACGCAGTACACAAATGGACCGGAACTCGTCAGTCAGTGCACGTTCACGGAGATGACTTTCGATTTACTACCTACATATCATCTTTACCATCATGTGATTTCAGTTCCATTAAAATCGCCTGTTTTCTTTCGCTCATAGGCTTTATTCATGAACACTGAGTAGATGGACTAGCGCAGTTGAACATGCCTCTTTTGCTCATCAGAGGTGCGCGGGTGCTTCCGCTATCGTAGACAAATTTTCCACACGGGGATCGGCCACGAGACTGGAAGAAAACAGGTAGAACCAGTACATATTCGACGTGAGATGTTTGAGTCTAATTAACTAGTGTCATTGTTTAATTATGCGAATATAGTTTCCAGTTTCAACAAGAACACAGTGGAGAATATTTTCCGAGTCTCGTCGTGAGGTCGCTACTTAAATGCCGGTTAAAATACGGGGGAAATGAAACAAAACAGGTCAGATAAGTTTCAGGATTAGAAAACGTATGAAGACGGATGACTGGTTGTTGGTGAAACACCAGTCGAATCTAACTGGACGTTGTGAGAAGGTCTGGAGGGCTGTTTAGCGACTGGGTCATCGGTTACTACCCAGTCGCTGGATATTTCCCCCTATATATATACGAAATCGTTGAAAAACAGAAATGGTTCGGTGATTTCGTATCAAGTTGATGTCCTGCGCGACGCACACTGTTTCGTTTAGGATTTTCAGAGAGCATCTCTCCTCGATTTTTGAACTATTTTACTAGGCGCGGGATTTGAAGTCCATTACTGTACGGTGAGTGGATGAGTGAGATAAAGATTTCTAATTCCTGGAGTTTAGACCTTCCCAGATTAAAAGTGCCAGACGCAATTCTGCGCCCAAACCGCCTTACCGCTTGCAGTTAGGCGCTGCAATGACCATCTAGTGCGCGGATCCTGATTGGTCGAAAATGGGAACCCAATGCGTTTCAGTATCCGTTGAATCCTGGTGCCCAGCACCGTATCCAGAGGCCGTCAGCATGTATGTCGGACATGGAGCTCCCACATGGGTCATCGACTCGTTCTGGATGTCACAGTATACTTCTTGGTCCAACTGATCTGATCTAAGAGATAACCGGTACTTTAAGAATACAGCCATATCCAGATACTTGCGACATAAAAGCCTGATATCAGCTAATGCTTGGTAATGCCTGACATTCGGGCACTGGAAATAAACTCGTGGGAATAATTAAATGAATTGGAGTTTGCTTCTTTTAACGCGAACATCACCAATGTTCAATTAATCAAGGCGCCTGGGGACGAACGTCTACTGTACTTTCTTCTTATGGAACCAGCGTCGTAGCTGTTAGTGGTAGTCTTTCGCAAGCGAAGGGCGGATCTCGGTGAGGATTTCTGGTTGGTGTTAGTGGTTCGTTCCCCAAATTGTGTTTCGCTATGGAATTGCTTCGCTTATGACCTTGGCCGTGGAAGTGGTGAGGGATTTCTGGTTGCTGTTAGTGGTTCGTTCCCCAAATTGTTTTTGGCAGGTCACTTTGTTATGGAGTTGCTTCGCTTATGACCTTGGCCGTGGAAGGTGATTGGTCTGTTCTTCGAGAGGAAGATGCGAACTTTGTACGTGACCTTCGTTTCGAACATGAATAAGCCAGACTTCAGAACACTGTACCACACTCAGGTACACAGGCGTTAGGACCGGAAGGCGGAATTCCGCGTAAAATACGCTTGGTGTAATAGGTACCACCTAACGGTTCGAACTCTTCTGTTGGAACATTGAATGGGACAATCGCTAGTCCAATTTGCTTCCTTTTACTATTGTAACCCTGAATCCAAATGGAGCTGTTCTTACACAGATATCGCTTGTTTGGCTATCATACGTCCAGACCGCGTTTACTCGGCGGCAGCCTACCGAGGGGCTAATCAATAGACTAGTTTTCTGATGCTCTCCATTACATACCATAAGTGGCAGTCGATGTGTGAAGTGAGCTGAGCTAGACCAGTACCAAACTGATCGCACAGACGGATTATCCAGGACTGCTTTCAGCAGACAGATGAGTTCGACCGTATTAGAATACTGGTAGCTTAGATGAATTCATTGGTAGTTTGTCGGGTGGCTGTTAGTCTGTTCACCGAGCTTTGGAGTTTACTGGTAGACGTTCCGTCAACACTTGTGGAGACATCATCAGTTCGTGGTCGAGTGATACGGTGGTGACGCACTGATGTCTCCTCAAACAGTGATGAAGTCAACTGCCAAGCTCGGCGAACAGATCAACAGCTTCCAGTGTTACAACTTTGTCGACCAAGTTCCGAGAACTTGTTTTCAGTGACTGGGTTCCTGATTCCGAGATAAGATGAACAAACGGTGGTGAGAGGTGCAGTGATTTCAGCAAATTTTTACTTTTCGGGTTTGCGGGGTTGAAAAACAATGACAGAACGCCCAACCGAAACACAAAAAGTTCCCTAATAGAGATCGATGGCTGCTTCCGATAGTTTTGAAGATAATTTCTTTTCTGGTTGCTTGCTTCCTACGTCCTGTTTATGTCTTCGTCCTGGGTTAATCCACCACTTGTATGAAGGAACAGTGTGTAGCACACTCACTGAGACAGCGGATAACTATTCACCGACACTCCTAACTGTGGTCCTCAAGCGCACACCTGCCGTGCGTCATTCTGCACACAAACCGGCTGGGTGACGAGATACACTCAACAGTAACTGTTTTGTTGCTCATGACCAACACGTCTACACCTCATTTGCATCTAACCGGACCACTGCATGCGATCGATACCTGAATACGAAAGTAAGCAGTTGAACGAATTGCAACACGTCTACCATCATTTGCATCTAACCGGACCACTGCATGCGATCGATACCTGAATACGAAAGTAAGCAGTTGAACGAACTGCACCAAAAGATCCCGGTAAAATATCGAGGAAAAAACTGCCGACGTCAGAATACATACTGCCATCATCTCTCGTGAGAGTGAACCCGCAAATTTGCTGAGAACGCTAACTGCCAGAATACTCTGCATGGGCCGAAAACGATCGTCCAAAGGCAAATAAAATTGTTCTACGTATTCTACGTGATAATCACACTTCGTTTCCGTCGTAGAGTCTGCGGGATGTGTATTGTTCATATTCACATCACTCTCGTTTGAACAGTCGTCCTCCGCTCCTGGTGCAATCATTCTGGTGAGTATGGGGAAGCACTGGACTCGAGTCGGGCGCGCTAACCACATGGCTCAAGCATGAACTCGTTCGTTTGTTCAGACGTGAAAATTCAGATACGTCCCACACTCGCCTCGCATGTCGGATGTCCGGAGTTCAAATCCCAGCACGGCCATTGGATATACATTGCTGCTAAGCTCCAATAAGAGCGAAACTCGAATCCAGTGCTTCCCGCCCCTTTGGCGTGGCCTCACCGGAATAATTACGCCAGGGCGGGAAGGTCAACGTTCAAACGATAGTGACGTGAATATGAACAATGAAATTTCGCTTCATAGTATCTCTCTTGGACTGTGCGTACACCAAAGTACGAGTACTCTTCTTCGTAGTGAGTGATTTCGATCAATCGAGTTAAAGACAGCTGTTTTCGTCTGCTTGGTAGCAAGAACTAGGGTGGCGACTATTCTCAGCTATAATGTTCATACTTCGAAAGTAAATAATACGTAATCCACAGGAGAAAAGACACGGTAACACATTATCCTCTACAACGTTCACTCCCAGGGGAAACCTGTTCCGACTAACCACTAGGGAAGAGTTTTTCCACACATGGGAAACCGCGAAACGCCGACTACTACTTACCTGGTATTGGCCCGTGGATTACGAGAAAACACCTGTTAAACGGAATGCCTCGACGATAATTCCAACACCTGACTGCGAAAGATGATCAAACACGGAGGAGTCAGACTCATGGGAATCAAACTGCCTTCTCCTTTGTCCGTTGCTGCATTGAACACAACAGCGCCGGAGAGATGTCGCATACTGTGGTTGTTGATCTGTTTGGCGAGCTTAGCATTTGACTTGCAAAGTTTCGTCATCATACGAGGAGACATCGTCAGTGCGCACTAATGATGTCTCCCCAGTTGGCACAAAACGTTTGCAAGTCAACTGCCAAGCTCGGCGAACAGATCAACAACCAATAAACTCACCCGAGCTGCCAATATTTCGGCGTATTGCGGTCTTGTTCAGTTCGCTGTTTCCAGAATTTTCATGTCCGCAAACCACGTGGTTTCGTCGTGGTGTGTATGACAGTGCTACATACTTATTCAGGGTGTTGGGGTTACTATATACAGCTTTACAATTATATTGGTCAACATGAAAGCGAAAACCGGTGTTATTCTCCCTCGTGACTACCTACTGTAAATGTGTCATAGAACCGTTGTCTCAGAATTGTTCAAGGCAGAAAATCCTGAAACGAGAATTGATCTGGGTTATTACGTTTAGCATTCAACAAATGTGAAACTTGACTAACGGATACCTTATTACTTGGTATTTCGTTTAATCTTTTGTTCATGCCAAAAAGGAACCCACCGAAATTTGGTGCATCTGATGACTTTGCGCTCTAAGACCGCGCTATATCTGTGTCGTACAGTCCTCCAAAATCCTACCGCTCCCTCGTTTTCGTTCAAATTCAGGGAGCGTTCTTTTGATTTCATCAGAACTTTAATAGCTTCACGTCAACCGATACTAAAGGACCGCTGAAAACGCATGTGTCCCGTTAATTTTGTGCTGCCACTGAGCTAGAGAAACAGCAGTTGACAATAAAGCATCATCGCCTGCTCGGAAGTATTGAACATTGGAAAACGCTCACAAAACTCACGTCCCTTCTAATTGCTTTGTAATAATGCAGTCCAACCTGACCCGAATGCTACCAGAACAGTGTTACAAACCAAAGGTGATGGTGTGGAAAATTTGAACGTTAGTCGTCAATAAAATGATCATAGTCAAGACGCGAAATAGATATCCTGTCCCAGTATCACTTCGTGAAAATGCGTACGAGAAAGTAGTACTATCAGGAAGGTCAGATTCCTGAAAGCAACTTCAGAACGCCCGGAACCTACTGCTCCACCAAAAACTCAACTGAAAAGCCGCCAAGCATCCAGGCCA